AAATCTTGTTATTTAGAATCTTTTTGACTGACAACTTGTCAAGCAAGAGCCAAAGATTTGCAATAAAGCAAATTCTGCCATAACAGGCCAATTCCATGGCATTTCTGTCAACATTCTGACAGTGAAAAGGCAATAGCATAATGATACAGCAAGACCTCTGGCAACACAATGACAAATTTTTTCAGACTTTCACATCATAATATTGTGTTATAGAGGTCTGTCAACCTCTTGAAAATGTTTCTTTGGTCAAAGTTGCATCTAAGTTCAAAAGACATTGGCATAGGGAATCAGAGCCTCATTGAGATAAGAGGAGGGGGAAAGGCCATCCAAACATTTTCCAAAACAAGTAAACAATTATTTTAAAGATACACAAAGGAGCTTTTAAATGACTTAGTGGGTAACTTTTCTTTAATATGAATATAATACATATAAATATCAAGAAGTGTTTGGTAAACAGCCACTTGTCTGGTCATCAGATAATTAAGCAAAAAGTTACTAGATGTTGGAACACAGGGAGCTCTTTCTTAAATTGTTAATATCAGCTGAATTTACTTCAAAGAAAAACAACTCTGAATTTAAGAGGATTTCCCCAAAAGGAAGAGTAGTAAAATAATCCTGACAAAAATACTGTGTAAAGCCAGCTCCAGCAAAATAACAACCTTTGAGTTTCTCTGTTCCTATGCAATAAGTGTATGCATGGAATATTTGTGTCCTTGTGTGCAAATAAACTAATATATGTATCTGCCAAACACATATTTCCCCAAAGGAAAATTTTATTACACTGATACCTCGATATTCGACTGCTTCAAAACTCGTCGAATTTGGTACTTGACTTAGTTTGACAGCAAATGTTCCAGTACTTGTCATTTGTTTGGTACTCTTTTTTTTAATTGTCCTTTTTATTAGTTTATAATATAAAATGCAAAAATACAAAAACAAATAATAGGAAAAATAGGGGAGGGAAAAGGGAATGGAAGAGTGTAGAAAAGAAGGGGAGAAGAAAGAAAAGGGGTTTGTTTGGTACTCGGTGTGCTGCAATAGGAAGAGTGGGATGGCTGTGGAGAACAGACAGGAAGTTGGTCATGCCGAGAATGTCGCTGCAAAAGGAAACAGTGGATAGCTCCAGAGGGCAGACAGGAGGTCACCCATGCTAGCATAGGAAAAGGGACAGACAAAGTTCTCCCCAGCTGAAACAAAAGGTCACATGGTGAGTCACATGATTTGTTTGGCACTCATTATTTTTAGTACTTGTTGCACTTCCCGGGAACCAATTAACAACAAGTATCAAGATACCACTATAACTGAATTAACGTGTGTGTATCTGTGTGTGTCATTTGTGTCAGACTCCTGGCCAAGTTTTCTTGTCAAATTTCAGAAGTGGTTCTTCCTAGGGTTGAGAGAAAAGGTCTGGCTCAAGTTCATGCAGCTAGATTTGTGCTTAAGACAGGACTAGAACTCAGTTTCCCACTTTCTACCCTGATGCCTGAACCACCAAAGCCCATGAATTAACTACTAATTCATATTAATTGCTTGACAAGTAAGAGACCCAACATGCAGACACAACTGACCACCATATGCCAAGTATTCATTCTTATATTTAACAACATTCAAATATATATCGATACCCCTACCTCCTTCTACAGGAAACGGGGTGGGGGAGGAAGGAAATGATCAATGTGAGGTGGGGAAAAGGTAACTATATAGAGGTAGAAAGAAAAAAAAAAGAAAAGCCTCATGTAGGTGTTACAATAGGAAGAAATTAACAGGCAACACAGCTTGTTTGTTGCAGTAGCTAATTTTCAGGCATATCCTCCAGGGTGTCCCCTCTTTGCACTAGTAATCTCTGCAAGGGATGTGCAATCTTTCCCATTTGATTCCAAAATGTGCTTCAGAGTGTGCAGGAACATGACACACAGCAACAGTCCAAAACACTTTGAAGCACTTCCAAGATTTTACCAAGATTTTACATGACTGCCTCTTTCTAGCAAGGATCCTGGGAGAAGGTTTTGCTATTTTAAAAACAGATGTTACATTTAGATCTTGTGTGCACCAAAATACATTTTGGAATCCAATCTAAATGCATCACATAGGTCATAGGGCTCATCTGCATATCCTCCTCATCTCACTATGTGAACGTATCAATTCGTGAATGTATGAATGCATGCTGGGTTCTCAGCCGGCCTCTGGCCTATTGTGAAGACAGCCTCTGCTGATCTTTTTTTGTTACCTAATGAAAAGTAGTGTTTTCTAATCTCTCCACCCAAAAATGGCACTGGGCCATATGGCTACTGGGTTTCATTTCTTCCATGGAATGGAAGTGGATGGCAATGCCTCCACTCCAATTGGCTAATAGGTGCTCTGCCAACTCTTCCTTCTAGTCACTGGTTGCTTCCCTCTGCTGCCATTTTATCCTGGGCTACTAGATTAGTGAAACAGGGTGCTTTTTTTTTTTTTTTGAACCAGTCCACTAATAGATGAAGATTACTTAAAAGGTTATGGTAGGACTCTTCTAATTTGGCAGCTACAGCTGCAATCGACAGCAAAATGCTTAAAATGATTATTAAATCTTTAGAAGGGCATTTCTCTCTCAGCTAGTTCAATGTGCTAACCAATGCTATAATCTATTTTTCAGCATCTGTACTCCATGCCAAATACATTTATAGATTTTCAGAGGTCTAATTATAAAGTTTTCCTTCTTGTTAAGACGAAACATAAGGCATTTTAAAATCAATACTCCCAGTATGCTAATGGCATGACTTTTTGAAGCTAACAAATGTTCCTAAAGTTGAATGCTTGTAGTAGACAAATATGACTGTTTGTTCATGCAGATTTCTACTTCACTAATGTTTATGTCTCAATCGTTATGGCTCCTCACTATTTTCTCTTCTCTTATCTATGTCTCTTTTACACATTTCATATTTATGGGCAGGTCACAGCATGCCCATGAATTACCTCTGCTTCATGAACTGCACTGTTTATTGGTAGACTTCCAGTAAAATTCAAGTTGCTGGTTATGATGCTCTTTACCAAGCATAGGGCTTTGTTACTTGAGGGAGCACCTATCTCCCATAGTTCCTGTCCAACCATAATGTCTGAAAACGTTGATATCCTCCAGGTCTCATCAATTAAACAATGGTGGGACCCAAAGAAGTGGGCTTTCTTTCTCATGGCATTGCTGGAACACCATTCTACCTGAGATTCACATAGCCTCTATCTTGGCCCCATTAAATGAGTCCTTAATATCTGGTGGTATCCCCTGGCTATAAGCTAGAATTGTTGGCAGATCCTTGATGGGGCATTTTGGTTATTTGATTGATTGTTGGTTTTCTCCACAGTTTCTTTTGGATTCTATATTCCTCCTGCATCTTCATTGTTTTTACTGTTGTATTTTGTAAATCATGCATTAAAGATGCAGTGTTTAACTCTGTCCTCTTAAGAGTCAGCAATTTATAAGACCTTCAAAAGATGAACCAGTCAGTTTAATTTTTGACTAATCTATGAAGCATCTTTGTTTAATGGATTCATTTACAAATTCTATTACAAAATAGCTCTTTTCAATGAGGTATTTATTAATCAAAGTGTGTCAATGTGTATGTGTTCATGTGCATGCAACCAATCAGCACCCCCGATCCTCCTATTCTGTACAGGAATGAGATATGTCTATAGTTTTTATAACAAATACCTTATTGTTTTTTTTATGAAGAAAAGTAAGCCAGTGCCCTGAATACTGTGCTACCTTTTAAATGAATAAATTTACTAATATTCTGAAGTTCACTGGAGTTTCAAAAATCTAAGCTCTTTAAAAAACTAATGAATTAAACTCAGAGCCACAGTGGTTAGAGTGCAGTACTGCAGGCTACTTCTGCTGATCACCAGTGCAGCAGTTTGGCAGATCGAATCTCACCAGGCTCAAAGTTGACTCAGCCTACCATCCTTCCGAGGTTGGTAAAATGAGGACCCAGATTGTTGGGGGCAGTATGCTGACTCTGTAAACCGCTTAGAGAGGGCTGTAAAGCACTGTGAAGCAGAATATAAGTGCTATTGCTATTGCTATAGCTAAAGAAACTTAAAATTAATAACTAGGTCACAAAGATACAGTATTATACAGTAGCATAGCTGGCTGGAGAATTCTGGAGTTGAAGTCCACAAGTCTTAAAGCTGCCAAGTTTGAAGACCTCTGATATAGATATTCATTTTATTAAAGGGAGTGATAAATTTCACGCTTCAGACAATTTTTTAATGTTCTCATAGGTAAACTACATGTGGAGAACCAGATTTTGTGCACTGCTACTGGCAGTGAGCAGTGAGTTAGCCTGCAATACTCAGCGGTAGGATTCAAAAAAATTTACTACCAGTTCTGTGGGCATGGCTTGGTGGGTGTGGCAGGGGAAGGATACTGTAAAATCTCCATTCCCTCCCCACTCCAGGGGAAGGATACTGCTAAAGCCCCATTTATTCCTGATCAGCTGGGACTCAGGAGGCAGAGAATAGATGGGGGCGGGGCCAGTCAGAGGTGATATTTACTGGTTCTCCGAATTACTCAAAATTTCCGCTACCGATTTTCCAGAACTGGTCGGAACCTGCTGAATACCATCTCTGGCAATACTGCATTCTAAGCACTGCGCCACCATGGGTCTCCTATACATTAAGGAGATCCTCTTTTCAGTGTGAACCTCTAAACTGTCAGAGATGAAACCAACACACAGGACATCACTGCTGTATCAATTACAATTTGCAAATATACATGTATTGTCTCAGATTTCCTTCTATATAGTTATTTGGATTAGATTGATTGGGAAAAATTTACATCCTTTCAATATATTAAGAGATAGAAACTGAATTGTTGGTATGACTGTATACAATGACTGACACTTTTTATTAACTTTTTCTCTATTTAAAAACGATCATTCTGCCGCTTAATAATTTGGGATCTTTCTCATATATTCCTTATTGTAGTTTCCTAGTGATAAGATAAATTATTAGATAAATTATTTTCTTACCATTTCCTTATTTCTTGGTTGGATACAGGTATGCATCTCAGGCCAGCACCTACTACCATGAGAAAGGATGTTAGCAGCACAGTTTTCCGGAGGCCTGCAGGGGGAAAAAAGTAGACACCGCTTTAGCAAAACATGGCAACCTTGGCAAATATCAATTCAGGAACTGGAAAGTTCAAATTAATCAAGTACAACACTGTTAATAAAATCTCAATGAATAAGATAATAAAAACAGTGTTTCATCATAATTAAGAACAAATAGTGCTTGACCTTATTACACACTGTTACCAAGCAAGAAGGCATGAGGGAAATAGTCTTATACTTTTGTTATCTCCAACAACCAATGGTTAGAGGCGTATTGTCTTCAGTTCTGAAAGTATTATCGATATGGTTTGTAGCCATATTGAGCTTCATCCTCTATATATTTTGTCTACTTTCCTTTTAAAGCATTGAAGACTGCTGATCATGATACAAGCTTGTATTACTGAATTCTACAGCAGAATTACATTCTGCACAAATAATGTTGGAAATATAGAAGATAATATCTTTCCAGTAGAAGATACACAGAGGAACTATTGGAGTGTAAATCCACATTGCATTCCTTAAGAACGTAAGGATAGCCCTTTTGAATCAGGTCAACATCCATTTCCAATTAGCACTTGGTTTCCCACAATGGCCAGCCATATGCCTCTGGAAAGCATACAAGCCAAACATGAAAGCAAACCCCTCTTCAACCACCAGCCATTGTTTTCCTAATATTGGTAGCTGAAGGAATGCTGCCCCTTACTTTGTGGTATTAAGTCCAATAACAGCCCTTAATAAACCCTCTTTCTATATTCTTGTGGATTAGATAAATGCTCTTTGAAACGCATTCAAGTCAATGATCATCATTGCATGCTGTGGTAATGAATTTTACTAATTAATGATGTGCTTATATCAAGACGTATTGCTTTTATCTGTTCTATATGTCCTCCCAATAAGTTTTATTGGATGATCCCTAGTCATTATGTTCTGAAAAGGACTTTGTTTCTGTTTTCTCCAAACTATGATTTTATACTCATTTATGTCTTTTCCACCTTTTTTCTATGCTAAATGGTCCTCAAAGTTCTATCATTTTCTCACAGGCAAGGTGTTCAAATAATTGTCTTGTCCTTATCTGCATTTTCCCCAGCTCCAGCTACTTTTTTTTATAATTAGCAACCACAATTACACAAGACTATTACAGATGTGGACATATCCTGAATTTGGAGAATCTGATTATGTTTATTTTCCATTCTTGTTTTAATGATCTTTAGTGTGGAATTTGTGTTTTCCCAAATCCTGCATATTGAGATCATATCGTCACTGAACTAACCAAGGTATTTGTCTCACTAAATTCTTGGTTCAAATGCCAACAATTATACATGTGAACTTGTAGGGTGGAGGCGGATGTTGACTTAATGTGCATCTGTTTACACTTAGTTCAGCTAACCACATTCATTATTTACCTAATCAGTTTTATTCATCAACTTTAACGAGCTCTTTCCAATCATTTATGGCTTACCACCTGGAATAAATTGGAAATAAATGCAAACCTGGCCAACTCATTGCTTATCCCTTAGTAAGTCAAGATCATATATAAAAATTGAAAAGTACTGGTCCCAACTCAAATCCTTGAAGCACTAAATTTCTTACTTTCCTCCATTCAGGAAAATTCCTGTTTATTTCTACTTTATTTTTTCAATAGTTAGTTCATTAAAAAAAAAACTTATCACACAACCACTAAAGAGATTTTGATGAGGAATTATATCAAAGGCTTTTAGAAAATCCCAGTATATAGTGATGACTGTCACTTCTATGCACATGCCTCTTGACACTCATGTTCCTCCTTGTGCTTACCATGTCTACCAATTTGCCTGAAACAAACTTCATCCATCCATCCATCCATCATCCAATTTCTATGACTTCCCATCACAGTTAATTACTCTGAAGCTGATCAGTCTGGGATTCTTATGCATCTCCCCAACCCCCTTTCTAAAATTAGCATCATATTGTCTGCTTTCCAGTCCTCTGACACCGATTCTGATTGGAAGGTCATTATTTTGTTTTGCCTTAAATGCCATTTGACATGTAAGAATTATAGAGTGGCTGGCATCAGGACCTGGTGATATATCGCTATCTCCTAGAATCCTGAAAAATGATGGAGTTAATAAAAAAGACTGAAAGGAACACCAGCTAGCAAAGTGAATGCCATTAGATAACAAAATAGTAAAAATATTGAATTAACAAAAATACTGAAATTGCAGGGAAACTGAATGGTTTTTTTTTTTGTTTTTGTTTTTGCATCTTTCATTACTACAGAAGACATAAGATGGGTAACCCAAGCTGGGTTTGATTTTTGAGGGTGGGGATGAGGGTGAGAAATAAAGCAGCTAAAGCAAATTGGGTTAACAATGCATGATATTTTCTATTTTTGTAATCAGATTTAGCTGTGCTGGACCTGCAGGCAATTTTCATGTATGGTAAACCTAATGGTATTCGTTCTAGCAGTACCAACTCTATCTCCAGTAGTACTAACTGACCTTTTGTGAGACGGTTGGCTTTCTCTACTATCCCCTATTTTTAAACTTACTGTAATTGTTTGCATTTGCTCTTTAAGAATTTCAATAGCTTCTATGCTGTGAAATCCTATTTATCATGCTTTGAATTTATCTCTTATACTAGGTTTTTGTTACTTCTATTTCCTCAATTAAGCCTTTCTTATTGGTTAGTATCAAAGTCAAGGACTGCTGATTTTTTTGTGCTTTTCTCCACTTATCAAAGACGAAAGTCATCAAGACATTTTTATATTTTGATCATTTTACTTGCATTCTTCTGTGGTTTTCCAGATGTATCATTTTTCAAATTCAGTGACCAGAACTGTACCAGTATTCCAAATGCTGATGTTCTATAGATTTATATAGATGTATTACTGTACAATAAAAACTTTGTGGTTATCCTTTCAATCCTTTTCTTAATAATCCCTGCTGAGTTAATATCTTCGTTGAGCTCTATTCACTTTAGAGTTTCCATGTTTGTAGTCAAATGTGACTGTGCTGCACCCTGCAGGAGTTTCCTATTTGCATGCATGTTTAACCTAATAGTATTACTTCAGTGGTATCAACTATGCTTCCAGCACCATTACAAAAGTCCTAGTTCTTCTATAAGGGAAAGAAGGAAAATTGGGTTTTGTTTTTTTTTACTGCTACAGACTTTCAAACACAGCACTTTGTTGTACATTTTTATGAGAGATGTGGATCAAACGGAAATAGGTAGAGGCTTAATCTGCTCCTTATCCTTGTGTTTTCCCATCTTCGAAAATCAATGCTTTTGTGTCTTTAGTTTTACCATGAGTTGTGTCTCCTGGACACACTGTAATGCACTAGAATACTAAAAACTAATTCCACAGGCATTTTTAGTAGACAACTGGGTTCACGATATGTAATATTGACTTAACTTGTGAAATATGTTAGAAAATATCCACAAAGACTATTATCAGCTTCCTATTTCTCTCTCCCACACATTCTTTTCCCACCTGGGGAGGATAGTTTAAGGATTTCCAACAACTCAAAATATGAATGGATAAGAATGGAGCAGAAAGCAGTATTTTTTTTTTCTATTTTCCTATACTTCTTCAGGCTAAGAGAAAGCTAATTAGAGACACACTGAGTTTCAAAATGCATAAAATACCTTTCTAAGTCTTTTAAAGGTTTAGCTGTGTTGTTCCAGATGTACGGTACTTATTGGGAAGATATCTGCATGAAAACCCTTAAGGTATTTAACTGAACAACAGACATCTATATTTGTTTATCCATACTTACATTAATCTGTGTGTCACAAGAAGCTAACTCTGATTTTAAGATACATAGTCAATCAGTTCTTTAACAGTTTTAATGCTAAAATCTTTTTAGTATTGCATGCTATATCATAGAAGTCATGCTACAGTTAAAGCATTACATCTTCTAGAACATTAGAATGTTCTGCATATTTTCTCTGTACCATAAATGTTGACAAATGCTGTTCAAGGAAAGAAAAAAATAATGCTAGAGATTTAGGGAATATGAACAAGTCACAATTTAAAACCAAGGAATGGCATGAACTGTTACTCTGTAACTATTGCTCTGGCAAACAGGATTGACAACAAATACGTCTTTATGAAAACCTATTCTGATAGCCAGAAGTTATTGAAAATATATCTCTGATCACAGTAACCAAAGAAAGAACCAGTCACAGCCTGGGAAATAGGGATCTTTGCAAAAGCATTTCCAAAGATTTCAACAAAAGTAATAAGATCTGTGATATATTTGCCAGGAAGCAGAGTCTTGATAACAATTCACCCTCTTATCAGAGTTCAACTTCCTTTCTATGCTCTCCAACAATGCAATCTGGTTTCTACTATCTTCCAACCAACTCTCATATCAATGGATAAGAAGCCTGACTGGACATCAGCTTTTCTTAAACATTCTTTTCTGCACCTAGGATTAAATATTTTATAGTTTGCTTGTTACTTAGTGTGTACTTTTCCACTGTCTACATTCTAGGCAATCTAGTGCTGTAAGTGTGATTTTACATCATCTTACAATTTATAAACAGACCATCACCAAGTATATTAGATTTAAAGAACTTTTAATATTTTTACCATGCATAGGTAGCCTTGTTACTGTCTAAATGAAGAAGAATTCTATGCGAAAATTCTATCAGTGAAAATTAGAGTGGAGAATTAATCCTAATCTTCATAAAGGTGAATAAACTCTGAACATCAGGATCCCCCCCCCACCAAAAAAAAAAAAAAGATTGAGTACCACAAGCTGAGTCTAGTTGGGTAAGGTATACTTCATACAGAAAGACCAATTGCATTCTGTTCAAATATTAGTGCTGGCTATTTCCCCAAGCACCATGGGGAAGAACAATATGTTGCACAGAATAAATGAGAACAGAGGTTTGATGCCCACATAGTAACCACAGCAGTGAAACTGCTCTCTGCTCTCCGACTTAAGTGAATTGGAAATTTGTCAGATAATACTGATCTATTTATTGCTTGGAGCTGCTGTCTTGTATTCCTTCTTCTCCAATATTAAG